AATTGGAATTGGGGGCCAACTTAGGGAAAGGACCAAAAAGAACAAGGGTTTCGCCACCATCTACACCTGGGTATAGCTATGAGAGGCATAAGTATTCTTTGGCTTTGATGATTTTGATTGATGAGTTACCATTTAGCTTTGTGGAAAATGAAGGATTCATTGCCTATAGTAGAGAGTTGCAGCCTTTGTTTAAGATACCTAAACGCAAAGCTATTACAAGTGAGTGCTGTAAGATATTTTTAAATGAAAGGAAATTGTTGAAAGCTTTTTTTGAGAAATTACCTTCTGCTATTTGTCTTACCACTGACACTTGGACTTCAATTCAGAATTTGAATTATATGTGTGTTACAGCTCATTTTATTGATGAGAATTGGGTACTTAACAAAAAGATCATCAATTTTTGTACAATTGCCAATCACACTGGTGCTTTAATTGCTTATACTTTGGAGAGGTGTTTGTTGGAGTGGGGCATTAAGAAAGTGCTTGCTGTAACTGTAGATAATGCTAGCTCTAATGATAATGGTATATCTACATTGAAAAAGCAATTGAATAGTTAGAATGGAGCATTGATGAATGGTGACTTCTTGCATATGAGATGTGCTGCTCATATCTTGAGTTTGGTTGTGAAAAAAGGATTGAAAGCATACAATGAACATATTGCTAGAATCAGGGCTGCTGTTTAGATATGTGAGGTCTTCACCTAGTAGGTCTCAGAAGTTTAGATCTTGTGTTGAGTTGGCCAGGATAGAAAGTAAGAGTTTGCTCTGTTTAGATGTAGAGACTAGGTGGAATTCCACTTATCTAATGTTGGTTGCTGCACTAAAATTTTGAAGAGCTTATGATTTGATGGAGTCTGATAAGAATTATATAGCTGAGATAACTAAAGAAAAGCTACCATTGGCCTCAGATTGGGATTTTGTTTCTAAGTTGCTTCCTTTCTTAAAAGTCTTCAACGATACAACCATTGCATTGTCTGGGTCTTTCTATGTTACTGGAAATGAGTATTTGCGTCAGATTGCTGGTGTTGGGGCATTCATTGCTCGGATGCGTTACGATTCTGATCATGGGATACGAGAGATAGCTGTGGGAATGAAGATGAAGTATGACAAGTATTGGTCAAACGTTGGTAATATGAATTTGCTTATTTTGGTTGCTTGTGTTCTTGATTCTAGATTCAAGTTGAAGGATGTTACTAAAATTTTTGAGAATGCTTATGGTGAGAGTATTGCTAAGGATTTGTCTCAGAAGGTAGAAAAGACATTGGAGGTGATGTTTGTGTCTTATAGTTCATCACTTGTATCACGACGCAGAGACACTTCAAGTCAGCCTTTGGATTTGAATTTGAATGATATGATAGAAGGCGATGTTACTGTAGATGCTGCTTCATTCTTGAATTCTTATTTTGTTGAAAATGAGGAAGATGAAATTGTTGTGGACAAGACAGAGCTACCAAAGTACTTGCTTGAGAAGAATTGTGATAAAAATGATAGTAAATTTGATGTTCTCCATTGGTGGAAAACAAATGCAGCAAGGTTTCCTACACTTTCTTTGATTGCTAGAGATGTGTTGGCTGTGCCAGTCTCTACTATGGCTTCAGAGTCAACATTTAGTGCTGCAAGCCGTGTTCTTGATGTGTATCAGAGTTCATTATCTCTGAGAATGGTCGAGGCTATTGTTTGTGGTCGTGATTGGTTGCGGAAAGAACACAGGATGGTCAATTTTGAGAAGGAGTTGGAGGAGATAGAGGCAATGGATGTCATTGAATCAAGTACTATTCTTCAATATCTTTTATTCCTAAAGGTGTTTTATTTCAAAGAAGAGTCTGTTTGAGGTTATTAATTTTAACTTTCATTTTTTTTGGTTCAGATATTTTAGCTATGCCTGGAGCAGATGACGCGCATCCTCTCATTGAAGTTGAAGTTTAAATTGTTGTTTTATAATAATTGTGGACAAGTTTGATGAAGTTGGTACAATATATTATGTATTGAAATTTTATTTTCTTCAATGAATTGTTTTAATTTTGTTGGACATTTTCCCTTGTGATTTTTAATTTAACAATGGACACCTTTTTTTGTTTGAATTGTACTGTAATAGTTTACAAATTCTAGTGAAAAAAAAAATTGGTTCTAAATCGGTTCTGAATTTAGTTCAAAATTATACGTATAAGATTACAAATTGAAAATCGATGGTCACACAATATATTTAAATTGATGGAACAAGAGCAACCAACAAAAAAAAAAAAAAATCTAAAATTCGAACCGAACCGGTTCAGTTCAAAAATTATGAATGCCCGGACTGGTTCGGGTCCGACCGGTTTCGGTTCGGTTTTACCCAAAGCACATGCCTAATTAAAAATATAGGCAACTTTGATAATATTATCACATGACGTACAATAATATTAACTGGTATAGATATTGATTTCTATTTTCATCAATGATTATCAATTCAACAAAAAAAAAAGAAATTGTTTGGATATTTAAACACTGGAGGCTTCCAAATGTAAATATGTGTTCTTCCACATCACAATTATTTTTTTAATGGCTTGCATATTAAACGAAATTGCATGAATCTTCCATCTTGAAAACATAAATTAGTCTGAAAATATCAATTAACTTAACTTTGAAATCATTAATTTGTGATATGTAGTTGCATACTACAACAATGGCAATATCATTGAAATCTTACTTTTATTTCTTTTAAAATAAATTTTGTCTTGAGACTCAATATTTATGATGAAATTCAATACGTTTGATTTTCAAATAGTGTCAAATCTATATTGGAAAATGAATTTCAAAAGTTTGACATATAATTATATTATTTTTCAAATGCTTAAACATGTTTGACCATTGTTGAGAACCATACAACGATAATATAAAGCAATGATGAATAATCATGAAATTGATAAAGAACCATACAACGATAATATAAAGCAATGATGAATAATCATGAAATTGATAAAAATACTAATACTTTACACAATCAAAACTAAATTTATTTGACTTTGAAAAGTCACTACAAAAAAACATGCTAGTACCCACGAAAAATTAGCGGTCGTGGGAAATTCGTTGGTATTTTCCCACGAAATACCCACGTATTACCCACGAACATTTGAACGAAATTGTTTCCCATGGATTTTCCACGAATTTCTCACAAGATTCCAAACGAAAGAAGATGTGGATATTCAGTGGATAAGAGTTTCCCGCCATTAAATTCCCCACGAGTTTCCCACAAACGACCTCGTGGGAAATGACACACGAGCACAATTCCGTGGGAAACTCGTGGGCAAATTAAATCACCCGCGGATTACCCACTAACGGTTTTTGTGGGTACCATTTCCGCACTCAATGCGGGGGTTAAAGTTTCCCGCCAATAAAACCCCCCACGACTTTTTCCACACAAATAGCTGTGGATAATTACACACGCAATAGCCTCCATAGAAAACTTATATAGCCCACGTATTACTCACGGATTTATTTAGTGGGGTGAAACTTTCCCACCAACAAGCTCCCCACGAATTTTCCACGCGATTACATGTGGGTAATTACACATGAGCTTTACTCCGAGGGGAACTCCAGTAATAGTTATCACTCAAAAAATTCAAATGTAAACCATGTGCAAGTTAAATTGCCCACGAGTTGTTGTCGTGGGTGAGCCGTGGGTAAGTAAAGTTACCCACGGTATATCCATGACAGTTTTTGTGGGTAAGTATTGTTTCCGACGGTTTTCCCACGACATGTTTTGTGGGTAGGTATTGCTTGGGTATTTCGTGGGAAATGGGTGGGTAAACTTCGCCACCCACAACTTTTTCGTGGGTAATTCATGGGTAAAATAATTGTAAAATTTTTAAATTTTATTCATAAATCATTTGTATTTAGGCAATTTGACATAATTATTGGTTAAATTAATATATATATATATATATAGATATACATATATGAATGTGATATGGATGTATTCGTTGTATATTTCTCGTGTAGTTTGATCAAATAATGTACTTGATATTAAATTGTATCTATTTGTACATATATAGATGTTGTCCAAATTGTATGTATGGTACTTATTGTATAGTGCATGAAAATATATATATATATATACATACTTCATTCCAAAAAGACTGTTGATGAACTATATAATCATGCATGACAATAGAGTATATATTGATAATGTACTTGAAAAAGACTATTGAGACCTATATTGATAAGGTTTGTATATGTATATGTATAATATAACTTTTCCTCCCTCTCCGCGAAACCCTCTCTACGAAACGAATTTAGCCGCGTCCGCTAGGGTTCGGCCACTATGGCCGGATCTCGTCCACCGGCGGTAACACCTACGCTGCCGAAATCCTTTGCCAGTTTCTTTCAAAAACTGGCAGACGTATCTACATCCTCTTTGATCAAGGAAGTCAAGTTTATCATTGGCACTCCTACTTTAGAGTTTGAAGATGAGGAATTTGAAAAACTAATTGCTCCATACCGGTTAAGCCTCGTCGGGAAATTCTCTTACGGTAGGCCGAAAATGGAGGCGATTCACGCTGAATTCAAGAAGATCGGATTCAGTGGTGCATATACCTTAGGTTTGATGAATCCTAGACATGTATTGATTCGCTTTGAAATGGAGGAGGACTATCAAAAATGTTGGATTCGAACATTTTGGAATATTGGTGGATTCTCAATGTGAATGTTGAAGTCGATGCCCGGATTCAGATTTGAGGAAGATCCTCCGGTTGTGCCAATATGGGTAGCTCTCTACGATCTTCCTATCGAATTCATGCACCCGTAAGTGATCTACTCGATGGCCACAGCCCTTGGACAGCCTTTGAAAGTGGACACTCCAACATTGAATACGACCCGTCCCTCGGTTGCTAGATTCTGCGTGGAGGTGGATCTTACCATGAATTTGCCAAAATCCGTAAAGGTGGGCAAAAAGGGTCGCAAGCATGAACAAGTCTTCACATTCGAGCATATTCTATCGTATTGCTATGTTGCAAGATTGGCCATATGGATACCGATTGCAGGGTTGGAAAACCCATGGTGAGAGTGAATGAGGCAGACAAGATTGAGGTTCCAGAGAAAAAGGGAATCAAAATCAAGTCGGCAAAGCCTAAATGGACAATGAAAGGAGGTGATCCGAAAAATACACTGGAAGCTCAAATAGTTAGTTTGAATCCCTTGGTGGTCAAAGGGGTGGAAAAGGAAGCAACGGTAGTGACAGAGAAAATGAGAAACAACCCTGTGATGAAAACCCTAGAAGCGCGGCCTGCGGACGAAACCCTAGCTGCGGCTGAAACCCTAGGCGCGCAAGGTGAGGTGCGGCAGCTTGAATCTTCTTCCGGTTTGACTGCGATGGAAAAAGAAACAATCCTGGTGGATTTGCAGCCATCCCCGGTTAGAATTGAAGCCGTCTGCATTGATGCGCCATCTCTTGTTCAATCGGGAAATCGATTTGCGATTCTCCATGCTGTGGAGGATGATGAGGCCAAAGGGGAGATGGCAAATGTTCATTCTAAAGTTCATACGCAAAGTCAGGAAGAACAAGACAATATTGGTGCTACTTCGGTTGATGGTAATTTGGATTTAGCCAACAATAGAGCCTTCCTTGAAGTTGAGCTGTGGAATATGTCTCTGGTCCCGCAACAAGACTCCATTCGATCTAATGACAATACATCCGCGAATGTAATCCCTAATACTGAGGGGATTCATGACGAGAGAGAGCTATGGTCTGATGGAGAGATTCATGATGATCACATTGTTGAAAATGAACAAGGCGAGCGCATTGTCACCAAGAAGCGGGGGCGTAAGTCGAAGGAAGAACGTGCAAAACAATCGGAGGGTGTTGAACTAAGGCGCTCCCTTCGTCTTCAGTAGGTTCCAATCTCTCAAAAGTTTCAAATGATTAGCATCATTTTTTGGAATATTCGGGGAATAAAGAGTCAAGCATCTCAGCGTCAGTTGAGGTCCATGATTCAGATTTACAAAATTTCCTTGTTGATTATACTTGAGCCAATGCTTCCTTGTCATAAATTGGAAGAAATAAGACGAGAGTTGAGGTTTGATATGACATTCTCCTCTGCCACAAGTAAAATATGGGTGTTTGGTAGCCGGATTTTCTCCATCAATACGATAGAAGATGCGGGTCAGGCGATGCATTTTGAAGTTACATGTGTTCTGCTTCAAAAATTTTTTTTGTTATCCTCGATATATGCTCAGTCAAATAAAGCTGATAGGAGAGCTCTTTGGAATAGATTGGTGACATTCAGAGGTGTGCACCCTAACTCTCCTTGGATTGTTGGAGGGGATTTTAATGTTATTCGGTCCTTGGATGAGTATTAGGGTTCATCGGTGCAAGATTATGGTGCTATTGAAGAGTTTAATAAATGTATTGATGATAGTGAGTTGCTTGATCTTCCTCCCATCGATAATGAGTATACTTGGGGTGGTACGAGGCTTACCGGTTGGGTTAGCAAGCGATTGGATCGCGTCTTGATATCACAAGAATGGAGCAATCTCTTTCTGAAGATCTCGATGGAGCACCTGAGTCGTACAACTTCGGATCATTCGGGACTACTCCTACAATTTGATGCTCAAGCTGAAAGTAGGCCAAGGTGTTTCCGTTTCCAGCAAATGTGGTTAAGGAGGCCGAGATTTAATGAGTTGGTCAAGGACAATTGGTCTCAGCCTGTCCAGGGTTGTGGCATGTTTGCGTTTTCTACTAAACTTCGCCGACTGAAATTAAAACTCAAGAAATGGAATAAAGAACACTTTGGAGATGTCTTTGAAAATTTAAAAAAGGCTGAAGCACAGGTGAAGGAATTGGAAATTCTGCATTATCAAACTGGTGATGTAGCGGACCGTGTCAATCTTAGCGAGGCCAATGCGTTTTATCTCCAAAAGTTGAAGGAGCATGAGGATTTCTGGAAGCAAAAGATGAGATTGAAGTGGTTAAAGGAAGGGGACATCAATTCATCCTTTTTTCATGCCACGTTATCATAGAAGAATGTAAAGTTGGGAATCCACAAAATTCAATCGGTGGATGGAAGAACCTTAACCGAGTTAAGGGATATAGAGGCTGAGGCGGTGATTTTTTTCCACACCTTGCTTACTGAGGATCCTGCGCCAACTTCGCAAGTAGAAAAATAGGAAAAATTTTTGCACCTACCACATGATGAGCTAGATCTTTTGGACAAAGAAATGTTAAATGCTGCGGTTACAATGGAGGAGATGCGGGCCGCGGTTTTCAGCCTTGGTGAGGATAGCTCACCGGGAGTAGATGGATTTGGCGGGATGTTCTATAGAGCATTTTGGGACGTTATTGTGGAGGACTTGCTATGCGCATGTGCTGAATTCATGAGTGGAGTGCCACTTCCAAAAGGTATATCTAGCACCTTAATTACATTGCTGCCGAAGAAGCATTCCTTTACTACATTTTCAGATTTTAGACCTATCAGTCTTTGCAATTTTCTGAATAAGGTTTTTACTAAAATCTTGACTGAGAGGATGAAGAAAGTTTTGCCAAAAATCATATCGGAGGAGCAATCGGCTTTTGCTTAAAGGGCGGGATATTATAGATATTGTGGTTTTGGCTCAGGACCTTTGTCAATTCGTTACTCACAAGGCTGTGGGAAATAATGTGATCATAAAGGTCGACATGATGAAAGCTTTTGACCGAGTCTCGTGGAATTTTCTAGAGAAGGTTTTGCTTAAGCTAGGGTTTTCGCAGGGGTTTGTTTTGTTGGTTATGAATAATCTCCAATGCAGTTGGTTCTCGGTGATGGTAAACGGCTCCCCAGCAGGATTTTTCAAGGCAACACGTGGAATAAACACAAGGTGATCCGTTGTCCCCTTACTTATTTATCCTAGTTGCGGAGGCAACGACAAGGCGTCTAAATTTTTTGATGCATGAAGGAAAGCTAGCAGCGTATGCTACTCCGGCTGGGAGCTTAAGGGTGTCACATGTATCCTTCGCCGATGATATGATAATCTTTACTAGAGGAGAAAAGAGATCTCTAAGAACATTGGATGTGTTTTTCAATGATTACGAAATAGCATCAGGCCAAAAGATGAATCGCCAAAAAAGTTTTTTCCTTGTTGCGGAGTCATGTCGGGCACGAAGGATAGAGATCATTACAAATACCTTGGAGATGCAAAAAGGTTCCTTTCCTTTTATGTATCTAGGCTGCAAATTATTCCAGGGGAGGAAAAAGGCTTCAACTTTCCAATTCTTATTGGATTCGCTGAACTCTTGCCTGGCTAATTGGAAGAATAAATTGTTAAGTACGGGCGGAAGACTTACTCTTTTGAGACATGTACTTGCTGCCTTACCAATCCATGTGTTTTCAGCTATTAGTCCTCCCGCTTTGGTCCTTAAACAAATGGAGAAAAGGTGCCAAAGGTTTTTGTGGCAAGGTTCGAGTGAAGAAAAGCGAAGGCATTGGCGCTCTTGGGAGAGATTAGCATTTCCAATAGAGGAAAATGGTCTAGGGTTGTGCCGATTTATTGATGTAGTGCAAGCTTTTTCATATAAGCTATGGTGGAAATTTGAACATCAATATGGATTATGGAGCAAATTTATTTGCTCACTCTCGTACACTGCTAAAAAGAAAACAACTTGGAGTAGGGTTTCGGAAATTGAACAAAAGGCAGCAAAAAATTCAAAAGTCTTGGTCCGTGGAGGTGATAGATTGTTATGGTTTGATAATTGGCTGCCCGATGGCATACTTTGGGATTGCACACATGGTTCTCCTCCAATGCCAAATCTTACCATACGCAATTTTCTTACTAATAAGGATTTGCTATTGACCGAATTGCATGGGGCGCTTGGAGTGCAAAAGGTCCAAATGTTGCGTGACATAGATATCCCCCTCACCAGCGAACCTGATTTGCTTGTTTGGCAGCATTTATCTAGTGGTAATTTTTCAATAAAGTCGGCATTCTTGAGCCTGAGGAGAAGGAATCTAGTGGACTTGTTGGCTAAGACTTTTTGGCATAAATTGATTCCTCTAAGGGTGTCGTTCTTTGTTTGGAAGCTCAGAAATTTGTTGGTGCCACTTCCTGAGATTTTATCCAAATTCGGTATCCAGGTTTGGCCCTCTAATTTGTTTGTTTTGTAAAATGCATGAAGAGAATATATCCCATTGCTTCTTTGGCTGCCCCGAAATCAAATGTATTTGGGTGCATTTTGCCAATCTGTTTGATATTAAAATTGAAGCCATGGCCACATTGCTCGATTTGTTACAAATGTGGTGGAGTGCTGGTGGCGTTTCCTTGGCGAAACAATCTCTCATTCGAATACTACCTTCTTTTATTCTTTGGGAGGTTTGGAAAGCTAGGAACAAAATATTCTTTGATGGTATTCCGTTTGAGAAGGGGAGAGTTATTCATGAAATAACTATCTCAATTCGGAACATTTTGTTTGTTACATGATTTGAAGACAAGGAATGTGGAGGAAAGGGAATTCATTGATAATGCATTTGGTGCAAAATTACAAAAATTCTGAAGAAGGACTTGTATCTCGGTTTGTTGGAAGTTGCGGAGCAATGAAGGCTTTGTTCTCAATACTGATGGGTCGGCTACTAATGAAGATTCTGGCTATGGTTTTGTCATTAGGTGCTTTGGTGGGAACTTCCTGTATGGAGAGCATGGGTATGTTGGTGCGTGTGACAGTTTTGGCGCTGAGATTTATGGGCTGCTTTTTGGTGTTCGAAAATGTGATCATCTCAATTTCGAGCATGTTGACATTCAAACGGACAACAAGGTGCTGGCTGATCTTTTGAGGAATCTAAATTTGATCCCATGGAAATATTACTTTCAAATTATGGAGATTCATAGTATTATGGGGAGGCGTTCATACTCAATTTCTCATATTTTTCGTGAAGCAAACTCAGTGGCGGACGGTTAGCCGGTCAAGGATCACAAGGGCAATCTTGCATTTACACTAGATTCGGGGAATTGCCAAGGCATGCTCGTGGTCTAGTTCGTTTAGATCAAATTTCATTTCCATATGTACGAGTTAGACTCAAATAGCTTTGTAACATGGCAAGTCTTAAGCACTTCTAGATTTATTCTATTAATAAAAATTAATAAAACAGAGGTAGGGAGAAGCTGAGGAACTGAATGATGTATATGTCCATCCCTCGGGTAGACCCCGTGGGTGCATTATATCATTTGGCTATAATTGATTCAAAAATTCATCTTTTGGGTAGACCCCTTGAGTGTTTTTGAGACAGTTAGAACCTGAGCTCCTTTCTAAACCTCCTATTCATTTTTAAAAAAATATTGATAAGGTTTGTGATCACATTTATGATTTGATAAGTTGTGATTATACCTAATCAGTGTAATTAGTATGTAGACAATAATTTGTGAAGGTTGAAATCAATGACCGATTATGAACTTATTGTTATTAATATTCAATAACGATCACATAATTGAGTTTTATTTTGATGTTCATTTGAATAAAAGTGAAACATCATTTTTGTGACGGGGGACAAAGTGGACGTTGTGTAGATATCATAATATTTGGGTTAAAATTGAAATAGAAAAATTAGTTATTAAAGGCGTTAATGAAAATATTTACATTAGTATATGGTTAAAAAAAGAAAAAAGTTTCAAGGTTGCCATTTTGTAAATAATAGGGTGGCTATTTTGTAATTTATTTCGGCCATTATATAATTTAGGCATTGAATATTTTTAAAGCAAAAAATTTTATTTAATTAACTTGGGAAAAAAATTCTGAATGAAAAAAACGTGGGAAAGTTCCCGCTTTTGCCAATTTTTTCACGCTTTGGGTTTGGGTCTCCCACTTTTTACGAAAAATCCCCCAAATCGAACTAAGTCCCAAAACACACTCATTTTTGCCTAAGTCCCAAAGC